ACTAAATTTTCGTCAAGTTTAGAGGTGTTTTCAACATTTCTCTCAGTTTTTTTTATAAAGATCTTCATGCTCCTGCAAGAGCTTGAGACCACCTGCTATGTCATGCGGCAGATCAAAGTGTATCTAAGTTGAGTTAGTCAAGTAGATAAGTGTTTTTAAGGCTGTCAATAGTTCATGACGGAAACTAATAATTCAGACCAAGTTTAGGAGTGTTTTTAATAGTTTTCTCTAAAATAAAATAACCAACAAAGGCTGTGGTGGAGTGGTAATTACTCCTTCATCTTTAATGAGAGCTCTCGGATTTGAATTTCTTTGGATACAAAGTCGCTTTGTTAAAAAGTGTTTTACCCCTCAATGTGGTACTTAGAGTCGAATCTAGTTGGGTTTCAATGTGGATATAAGATACCAAGTGGAAAAAGAAACTAAAAGGAAAACACAAAATAAAAAAAACATTTTCTTTTTTCGATTCATTTCGTTTAGACACTCGAACTACTATTTGACTATTCGTGAACATCTGATCGCATGCTAAAATATTATTATTATTATACATTTCCATAACAATTTTGAAAATGGTTTTATTTTATATGTTCTCAAATATCAATTACATATATAAAATTATAAATTAACAACTTATCTTTATTATACATATTAACCTCAATAAAGCACAAAAACATGCTTATATATTAATTAAGGTTAATGTATATAACTAAAAAAATGTTACATATAACATATTACATGATCAACTTGTTTATTTAATATGGAATTTGACAACACATACAAAAGCTATTCTAAAATTTGAACAACAATATTTATAAAAATATTTTATCATATTTAATTGAAACATAAAGTAAGTTATGTGTTAAGAAGAAAATAGACTATTAAGTTAGATGTTGACATGCGTGTGCATACACGTGCTCTGTACCTCATTATTATTCATCCTTGGCTTAGCTGTTTTTGTCTTATAAAATACTCACTAATCATTAACCCTCCAAATTTATGTGTATAATTTTTTTTAAAAAATGAATTTAAATATAATAGTGAAATTAAGATTTTGAATTTATATATTTTAGAGTCGAGGTAAAATAGTTTAGGCACGGACTAAATTAATATATATCTTGTAGCTTTGTTTTGTCTAAATATATCACATCATTTATGTAACTAAAAAATCTTTAAAACATAATGATATTAATCATGTTATAACACGGTTAGATTGTAAAAAATATATATTAAGCCTAAAACTAATTATTTACAAAGTATAAAAGATTACTCTTTTTTAAACCTTTTTTTTTACATAAATATAATATATTAAAAAGGATAAGATAAGCCTAAAATTACATAAAAATTATCTAAAAAAACTTAAAATATCGTATGATCCTAGCAAATCAATCAAAAAATAAAACATAATAAAAAAAATTCAATATTAATGATATTTATTAGTTGAGATTATAATTTAGCCACGTTAGTACATAATACATTTACTTTAGATGCATAATATAAATAAATTTTGGTGTTATTATGAAGTGGTAATATTTGTCTTTCTTGATTTAATTTATAATAGGCTGGCATCCATGATTTGTGACCAATCAGAGCTAATTCATGACATCATTTTTTTAAAAATCTTTTTTTGAGAGTGATTCTCTTTTCGTCTCTCTTAATTATTATTTTTTTTGGAATAAAATGTTTTGGAGATTAGTTTTAACGGTTGGAATTAAAGTTAACAGTTGTTTTTTAAAATGATTTGAATGAATGACATTTATAATTAATGAAGAACCAATTAAATATTGATGTCACGGTCAATTTGATTGTCTTTTGGGTTATTTCCAATTAACATTAAAAAATAAACTTTTTAGTAGTCTGACGTGAGATTCGATTAATTTAAATTCATATCATAAACTTATTTGAAAGGTAAAACAAAATACGTCTTTATCAAAGGCAACCGAATTTGACTTGAAATTGAGATTTAAAATAAAAAAATACTTACCATCTTAATATAATTTTAATGATACAATCAAGTTGATTCAATACGGATGATTGAGAGAGAAATCGCTTTTAGTTAACTCTTTTGACTGAATTTAATAAGAGGGAATTATAATTATATTAGTAATTGTTTTGTTGCAATATTCTCTCAGTTTATTTTTAGTTGTCATATTTTGTTTTACGATAATTGATATCAGTACTAATTTTCGGAAATCAAAAGGTTACATTTATTTCAAATATTGTCTGTAAAATTGGAAGTGGATTCTTTGAAATAAAATTAGCATGTCTAAAATCAACACAAAAAGTACTTTAATTTCAGTCATAATTATCTATGATTTAAAATATTGTGGAGGGACACTGAAGTGATTGATGTAAATGAGTTGATTGTTTATTGGTCAAGGCGTTTAACAGTTAATTAATTGAATTAACGGTTGAAATTAAATTTGAATGATTTATATTGTACGTTATGAATATAATGTCATTAATTATAAAACATAAATGTCATATTATAACCTATGGAATAATTATCAGTGTTATTACCTTTTGTCACGAGCCTAATTATATTTGAAGTTGACATATAAATCTAATCAATTTGATTTATTGGGAGAGTCGTTCAATTTTAAATATTTTTGAAGAGGAGAAGGATAAATATATCGTTGAATTATTTAAAATTGATCCATTTTATTATCCGTTATGTTTTAGGTTAAGAAATGTATTTTGATGAACTACTTTAGTCTTTTACTTTCTTGAGTTGAAGATATTTTTGAAACCGACCTATTTATCCCACAAAGAGAGAAATAACATTTGCTTACATCTATTTTTTCCGAACTCTACTTATATAAGACTATATATGCCGGACAGTGGTGGAGCAAGAATTTTCAATAAGGGGGTTCAAAATCCATAGAAATAGACACATGAAATAGCCGAAGGAGGTTCGACATCTACTATATATACATAAAAAAATATTTTAACCATATATAAATAATATAATTTTCCATCGAAGGAGGTTCGGATAACCCCCTTAGTACAAGGTGGCTCCGCCCCGGATGCCAAATATAGATGGAGTCACCTTAGACAAAGGGTGGCCTGATGCACTTTTTTCACCCCAAGAATTATATGGTGTACAAAGATTAATTTTTAACAACTAAGACTGTATATTTAATTTTGTACACTCTTAACCTAACTGAAAAGAATGTGCACACCTTTCACTAAATTCTGACTCCGCCACTAATGTTGGATGTATTCTTATTGTTATTTTAAGTTAAACCTTTCCTACAAATATAAGACATTATTTTTTTGTCATTTTCAAATAATTTCTATTGCCTTGAAAGGTGGCACGTTGGTCTTTGATGAGTCACAATTGGTGCAACGTGGCATTTTATAGAGAATTATCATATGTGACCAATTAGAGTTAATTATTAATAGCGTGCCTAAATCAAAGTGGGCTACTTATAAGAGACAAACGACGAAACTACACATCTCTTGTTTATAAATTTTAGCAATTGTCACCATGCTTACTTGGAAAATGCCAATTTGTATTGTCAATTTATTAAATCAATTACATTGGATTTAAGTTTAATTTTTTTTACATAATTTAGATTAACTATCCTGATTATAATTTTAGAATAACATTATTTTGAATTGAGGCATAATTATTACTATAACCTTGATTTGAACAACCAAACGATCTTTGAAGTATGTGGAATTTAAACTCTTTATATTATAATTTAAATGATTATTGGATATGACTTGAACGGTTGGAAACTAAAGTTAAATGTTTTTTTAATACATGCTTTGATGTCTCCAATCAAATTCAGTTTAGTGTAGGGAATAGTTGAAGAAAAAGTTTTATCTTCTTTGACTAAAATTTAATAAGTGGGAATTGTAGGACATTATTATAAAGCTCGTCTCTTAATGGTACTGAAAAGGTAAATATTTCCATATAAATATTATTCATTTGTAGCAGTAAATCTTAATTTGCTTACTACAAAAAAGTATTCAGAAGGTTGATCTTAATATTTTTCATGTTGACGGGTCGATTGTAAGGGTAATACTTTAGGCCTAATAAGTTTATACAAAGTCCAATTAATCAAATGCAAGAAATTGCAGAAATTTCCGCCTGCCATCTTCTTTTTTAAAATTTATTTATATATATAATTTGTGAAAATTCTAGATCACGATCTAAATATCTCTTTTGATCAAATGAAAATTATAGACCATGGTCTAAAATTTTGTAGACGTTAAACTGTGTTCAACGTCTTGTCAAGTCTCAAGACTATATTTGCATAATTTTAAAATTAGGGACAGTCTAAATAGTGGCCTAAAAATGAGACATTTGTATAAATCATCTTCGAATTACTGAAACGTGAAATACTTTTAAATAGATTCAGTTAATCAGATTTCTAATATTTAGGAATGTAAGGTGTATAAGCAAATAATTTGTACTTGCCCAAGTTGTTTCCATAGTAAATGCTATTGAACTCTTATTTATTTCATATGAACTCCAAGTTACTAGGTAGGTAGTTGTTCGACAACTTACACTAGTAGTTCGTAGTATTGCTCCCATAGTTTTTGGTCCTTCGAATTTAATTTGTTATATCTGTTTTCTTGTTCTTGACCATTGTTACAATCTGCTATTTCTTATACTTGTGTTTTTTCCAAAATTATGCTAGATTAGAAAATTTGTACCTCATATTTCTATTACTAACCAATAGGAAAAGCATTGAAGTTCATGATCAACTGAATCTGCCTCCAGCAAATTTCATTTTATCTTCGTTGCAAGTCTGAATCCCAACCCCACAAACAACGTACGGTGGAAGGTAGAACTCGAAAGAAATTCAACATACACCATTTGAACTTAGCCATAGATGTTACTTAAAACACGATTGCAAATCCACCACCAACTAGGTAAGAAAGGGGATGGCTACAGCCAGAAAAACTGCGCTAAACGCAAGGTAAACACGTTAAATACTTTCATGGACTATACCATTAAGTGCTTTAAATAACAACCACCCACAGAAAAAAGACTCCATCACTAATTTAAATTCAAACTAAGTTGATTGGAAAGCTGACAGCCCAAGCTTAGGTACCTAAGAGTCTATAACAGCAGTGGCACTACTGCATTATTAACAAACACATCCATCGTAGTCTACATACTAGTGAGTATTAATTACATGTCAGGAAGAGCTGAAAGGATTATGCTGATGTTTACCAGAATACCTGTACAGGACGATAGTGCTAGCAGCTTCCATGCATGTCTGTAATAACAACCGGCACCCTCAGACTAATTCCATGCTATGTAATGTTCTCTCCTGAATAAACAGTCACCTTCTCTAGCACAGCACACAAACTCAAGCAGATAACATCTGTTGTTTCACCTTTCTCAGCACCGGATGTGCTGCCCATGCTTTTCTTTATCAGAGAGCCTTCCTCCACCTCATCCCTCGGAATCAAATCATTCAGAGTCATCATGCTGTCACCAACTGACCTGAATTTCAGCACTCTTACTCCATCTTACACAAAATACAGTCACACATGACAGCACAAACCAAGTTGCTGGATGCAAACCCATAGTCCATTAAGCAACAAACTGGTGGTCCTTAACCGTTGTAATGGAGTTTCTGATTTTGTGAGCCTTGAGGCTGTTGAGGTTGGGAGCTTTGCATGTTCAATGGTTGGGTGTTGTAGTGCCCAAAAGGCTGAGAGTACAGTGGATTGAGTAAACTCTGAAGAAAAACAGAAACAAAATTGATATTGACATTAATTAGACTGATGAACTAACCAATAAAAAGGAACATTTTGCAACACCTGAAGTCCCCTAAATCCCAGTAGCTGGAGATTCACGTGATGTGCATACTTCATATCTGGAGGTCTTTCAATGATCTTGTTAACTACCAAGCAGAATTAATAATGCAGTAACCTGAGACTGAAGTGGATTTGCATTGGACATGCCAAAATGGTTTTGTGGACTGTCCTCTTGTGATGGATCGCTGTATCCAGCTTGTGTAAAGAGACCTTGGGATCCATGAGCCATGTAATCCTGCAGAGTAATCAAAATGATGACATAAGCATTAGACCCATGTAAACAGGAAGAAGAGAAACATCAGCAAAGAAAACCACATAAGATAACAGTTGTTCACCACCTATGAAGAGACTGTCGACCCTTCCATTTCCCCCCAACAGACCTAAAAGAGCAAGAAATGAAGGGGCCAAGGGGCCGGACAGCTTACCTGTGACATAAATTCATTTCCTGAACCAAAACGTGAGTATCCCAGCTTGTGAATTATGGTTCAAATAATTTCCTGGAAAACCAGCCTGTGCTCCCTGATTTACATAATCAACAGCATATCCGCTTTGAGAAGCCTGAATGGAAGTGAAACAAAGCTGAGTTAGTACTACTTAACAAAAAGGGAAAAAAGTGAACGTACAAATTAGATGGACAAGGGTGAGAACATCAAGATATTATACAAACTGCCAGCTAGAGAATGTGTACGACAGTACCTGTGTAAAGAAGTCAGTAACATGATATGGAACATGGGATCCCTGACTCTTGAAATCATCTCCCAAGAAGTCCTGATTAAAAAATTAAAGGATAAATGTGATACTTGGCGAAGCAAACAACAATGGTTAGCAAAATCGATTACCTGTGACATGCCACCCATTGAAAATCCATCGCGAAATGTCTGGCTTGGTCCTTGAATGGCCATCTATGATTTTTAAAATTATAAAAACATGCTTGCTACTAGAACAATAAGAATATGATAGAATAGTGAAAGAATTAACAGGTTTACTAACATTAGAAGCATATCCAGGCTGAGATAAAGGTCCTCCGCCAGATGGTTGAGTGTTTGGATTTTCAAGTGCAGAAAAGTTGAAGTTAGCCCCATGACTTCCAATAGGTTGCTGGGAGGCTTGCTGGTGAGAAAGATGGCTACCAATCGGAGCATTGGCATTCCCACGCCCGGCACCGAAATCCCGGCTACCTGGATGTGGAACATGAGGTACAGCTCCAACAGGCCCGTGTATAGCACCACGAGCAGGAATTGCATACGGTTGGGGAGGGCCGCCATGGTAAGGGGAGATGGGAACTCGAGGCATTGGATAACCAGAAGAATAGACACCGGGTCTGTGAGTACCATTGGATGGACCAGGTGCCATGTAAGAACCTATTAAAAAGATAAAAAGTTCAAAACCTGAGCCATAAGACAGGACTAGATGTATGAACACACTGTAATTTGGAACATAACACATGCTTTCACTTTCCGGCGCTAATTCAAGAAAACTTGGCAGGGAAAGGAGGTAGCTTGGATTCTAACAACCTTATCATATGATGAAACCTGCTCAGCGTGGAGTCATCAACACCAAACAACTGCTTTCTACCCAATTATGAGGACCATTATGATGTATAATTTTTGGAGCACCTACAGGATTCCCATTACGAGTAGGTACTTTTTTAGAAAATCACATTCTTATCTGAATCATCTACTTTGTCTATGCTTGTATACGGGTTTATCCCCAATTGCGTCAATATGGTACCTTATTTTTTTTTTTTGGGGGGGGGGGGGGGGTCATCATCTCAAAAGAAATTCCACAAATAGCTATTTTACAGGAAACATGCATGACTAATGAGATCCATATGGAAATAGTCACATCCATATCAATACATTTCCTACTATACAGATCAAAGCTACTGAATTATGAGTGTAAAGTAAGCCAATAGGAGAAAAATTAAAATCCAACATACCCCTAGAGCGACTACTTCGCCTGTCAGCATTGGGGTTTGATGAGGCAGGAGGTCCATAATTATCACTGGGAACAATTCCAGGTCCACCACTAAAGAAAAGCCTGCGGTCATTGTAGATCTGCAAAACCAATGATACGAAAGATCAACACCACATCAGAACCACAATATGATACATTCTGCTGAGGCACAAACATCAAACTTAGAAAGAACATATAAAAACATATAAGTACCTTCTTTGGCTTCTGAAACTGAACCATGCTTTGCTTTAAGTTATTTAAATGACCTTCTACCAAGCATTCATGCTCCTGATTGACAAACATGTAAAAGTTTGAGCATCTCGAGGCGTAATAAACAAGAAGAGATATTGAAGTGATTCCAAGAGTTTAAAGCAATAATGATGTAGTCAGACAAACTCAACAATACAACCCCCTCTTCCAAAGAGGATTGGCCCAAAAATAACACGCAATGAGCAAAATGTCAAAAATTTCCAGTTCAACAACACCTTAGTTTAGAATAATCATGAAATGCAGAATATTAGGTAATAAGCATTTTAAAAATCAGCATTACAATAGAAAAATAAGAAAGAAAAAGTTACCTTAAGCATTTTCTTTCAGAACTATTTAAGAAATTACCTTGTAGTGTGTCAGCAAGCCATTCCAGAGAGGCTGCTTGCTCAACACTTTAGGATTTCCTAGGATAACGATTCCATAACGAGCACGTGTAAGAGCAACATTAAGCCTGCGAGGATCATTCAGAAACCCAATGCCCTGAAATGAATAACAAGTAAACTATAAGTTCAACAGTTATTTATAAGGCACTGGCAATATGGGACGTTTCGCACAACATGCTTTTTTTTTGTTTTACACAACTTTATGGCCAGAACAACCAACAAAGTATAAGAAACCCAGTCTACCTCTTGTACCCCCAAATAAAAAAGGGGTGAAAAACTAGCCTTTTAACACTTTAAAAAAGATGGAATGCAAAAAATCAAAGGTTATGATGCATACATGCCGTGGAAAGAGCGGGAAAGAAAGGAGCAAACATCACATGAAGATTACTGTGAGAAATATATGAAAAGAATATTATTGAAATTGTGTTTTAATTATTACATAGAGAACCCTATTTATAGACACTATGATACAATTCCTTACCAATTAGGAGACTATAAGTTATTCCTATTCTGTGTAGGATTGTGTATACCTATTCTATTCTAACACTCCCCCTCAAGCTGGTGCATACAAATTATATGTACCTAGCTTGTTACAAATGTAATTAATACGAGGACCGATGAGGGACTTGGTGAAGATATATGCAAGTTGATCATTTGACTTCACAAATTTGGTAACAATATCTCTTGAGAGTATCTTTTCTCTGACAAAGTGACAATCAATCTCAATGTGCTTAGTCCTCTCATGAAACACTGGATTTGATGCGATATGAAGGGCCGCTTAATTATCACACACAAGTTCCATATGACCGTTTCTCCAAACTTCAGTTCTCCAAGCAACTGTTTGATCCAAACTAGCTCACAAGTTGCTAATGCCATTGCTCGATATTCTGCTTCCGCACTGGATCGAGCAACCACACTTTGTTTCTTACTCTTCCATGACACCAAATTACCTCCTACTAAAACACAATATCCGGATGTAGAACGCCTATCAAAGGGTGATCCTGCCCAATCAACGTCTGTATATCTGGTGATATGCTCATGGCCTTGATCCTCGAAGAGTAGTCCTTTACCAGGAGCTGACTTTATGTATCGCAGAATACGAACAATTGCATCCCAATGACTATCACAAGGAGAAGTCATAAACCGACTTACAACACTCACAGGAAAAGAGATGTCTGGTCTAGTCACCGTGAGATAATTCAACTTTCCAACCAACCGTCGTCCGTCTATACCTTTCAGGATTACTGAGTTGCTCCCCTTGTCAAGGAAGGAGTTTAACATTCGGATCCATAGGAGTGTCAATGAGTTTACATCCCATCATTCTTGTCTCCTCAAGAATGTCTAAAGCATACTTGCGTTGAGAAATAACAATACCTGATCTAGACTGAGCAACCTCAACACCTAGAAAATACTTCAGTCTGCCGAGGTCTTTAATTTGGAAATGCTGAAAGAGATACTACTTCAAATTAGCGATACCAACTTGATCATTGCCGGAGAAAACGATATCATCAACGTAAACAACCAAATAGATACACAGATTTGGTGTTGAATGCCGATAAAACACAGAGTGATCAGCTCCACTACGAGTCATATTAAAATCCTGAATTACTGTGCTGAACTTCCCAAACCAAGGTCGAGGAGACTGTTTCAAACCATAGAGTGACCGACGCAATCGACATACAAGGCTACTAGACTCCCCTGAGTAACAAAACCAAGTGGTTGGTCAATATAAACTTCTTCCTCAAGATCACCATGCAGAAAAACATTCTTAATGTCCAACTGATGAAGAGGCCAATGACGAACGGTAGCCATAGATAGAAAAAGACGGACATATGCTATTTTGGCCACAGGAGCGAAAGTGTCACTATAATCTAGCCCAAAAATCTTAGTATACCCTTTGGCAAAAAGGCGAGCCTTAAGCCGATCGACTTGACCATCAGGACCAATTTTGACCACATAAACCCAACGACAACCAGCAATAAACTTACATCTAGGAAGGGGGACAAGCTCCCAAGTACCACTCGAATGTAAAGCAGACATCTCATCAATCATAGCCTGCCTCCATTCAGAATGAGAAAGTGTTTCTCCTGTAGTCTTAGGGATGGAAATAGAGGACAAAGATAATACAAATGCATAATGGGGTGAAGATAAACGATGGTAACTCAAGAAAGTATAATGTGGATTAGTATTTCGAGTAGATCGTATACCTTTTTGAAGTGTAATCAATTGGCTAGCAGGAGGCAAGGCCGCAGTAGGAGCAGGGTCCGGCGCATAACATGAATCATTTGAGACTATTGCTGGATGTGGACGTTGATGATAAGTTAGGAGTGGTGGCACGACAACTGAAGATGGATAAGTAACTGTAGGTCCCTCAAAAGTCGATACAGGCAAGACTTGAGGTATGGGTAAGACCTTAGAGACATCAGGATGATTAGAAGATGTGTAGTAAGGTTGAGATTCAAAGAATGTTACATCGACAGACATAAGATATCGGCAGAGATCATGTGAATAGTAACGATACCCTTTTTGAACTCGAGAGTAACCAAGAAAGACACATTAAAGAGCACGAGGGGATAATTTATCTTTTCCTGGGGCTAAGTTATGAACAAAACATGTGCTCCCAAATACACAAGGAGGGATAGAATAGAGATGTAACTGAGGATACATTATGGAATGTGGAATCTGATTCAACATAGAAGATGAGGGCATTCTATTAATTAAATAACAAGATGAAAGGACTGCATCCCCCAAAAACGCAACGGAACATGGGATTCAATGAGGAGAGTGCGAGCAGTCTCAATGAGATGCCTATTCTTTCTTTCTGCTACACCATTTTGCTGGGGAGTGTATGGACAAGATGTTTGGTGAATAATTCCTTGGTGAGACATAAACTCTGAAACTGGGATGATAAGTACTAAGGCATTATCACTACGAAAAGTACGAATAGAAACACCAAACTGATTTTGTATTTCAACAAAGAAACTTTTAAATATAGAAAATAACTCAGAATGATCTTTCATTAAGAAATCCCAAGTGCATCTCGAATAATAATCAATGAAACTAACAAAATAACGAAATCCTAAAGTGGAACTAACTCTACTAGGACCCAAAATATCAGAATGAACTAATGAAAAAATAGACTCTGAACGACCCTCAATACCACGTGAAAATATGGCACGAGTGTGTTTCCCAAGTTGACATGACTCACAATCTAATTTAGATAAACTAGGCACCATCTGTTGCAGTTTGGATAGACTCGGATGTCCCAAACGTTTGTGAATGAGGTCCAGAGGATCTGTAACAGAGCATGCTGCGAAGGAATTTGAAGAGGTAAGCTAGTAAAGGCCATGCGATTCATGTCCTGTGCTAATCATCTGTCCCGTATTGCGGTCCTGCATAAGAAAAGAATCAGCAAAAAAGGTTATGCTACAATGTAGGGCACGTGTCAAACGACTAACAGATGCCAGATTAAAATAAGAACCAGGGACATAAAGAACAGAGTCTAGAGTGACAGAAGAAAGGGGTGTGGCTTTTCCAACCCCTTTTGGTTTTGTTTGGATCCCATTGGCCAAAGTAATAGCAGGAAGAGATTGTGAATAAACAATATCTGATAGAAGTGATTTGTTACCAGAAATATGATCAGAAGCGCCTGAGTCCATGACCCATGATCCATGAGTATGAGACTGTGAAACACAAGCAAAAGAATTACCCGCAACAACAACATTATGTTGAACAACCGAAGCTACTTGTGGAGACATTTGCTTACTTGCTCGCTATTGAAGGAACTCATCATATTTTGATTGAGCAATATGAGCATTATGGGATGGTCGATCAGGCGGAGCACCAAATGCTTCTTGTGGAGATGTCTGCTTACTTGCACGATTATGAAGGAACTCATTATATTCCTTTAGAACAACAGGATCATAACTGGGTGGTGGACCATGCAAATTATGACATATGTCACGAGTGTGTCCAAACTTATGACAATAACTACACTTGGACCCAGGTTTTCTAAGATTGATATGTTCGTTTTTCTATTGTTTGAGATGCGAGAGCAGATGAGTCAATAGTCGATGAAACTGCTTTGTGGCTGGAAGGCGCGGCAAGAAGAAGTAGATGAGAGAATAATACATCAACCGTAGGAATTATAGGGCTAGCTAAAATCTGATCGCGCACTGAATCATGGTCAGTATGAAGTCCAGCAAGTGTAAAAACTAGAAACAATGTATTTCTGTGGTTTTGTTGTTTTTGCACGTCCGTAGTGACTGACATCAATGTATCAAATTCCTCCATGACTGCCTGTACTTGTCCCAAGTAGGTGGACGTATCTGATTCTTGTTTCTTTAAGTTGGTCATACGAGATATCACATCATAAAATCGAGATATGTCATTAGTGTATAAAGCACAAGCCTTTTCCCAAACTGAATAACATGTTTGGAATGGACGGAACAAAGGCATCAACTTGGAATCAATAAATCGCCATAGGAGATTACATAACTGAGCATCAACCTTCTCTCATTGTGCGTTGACTTTTGCATCTTCTCCACTAGCCTTTACCTTTTCGTCTACCACACAAGCAATGCTCGTTAAGTGATCTTGGACACCTTGACCCTTGCACCACAACTCAATCGAGGAAGCCCAAGCCAAATAGTTTGAGCTTCCCATTAACGGTTCTGAAGTGATCATAAGGCTTGAACTTCCAATTCCTATATTCTTGGAGCCAAAAGTATTAATCCTGAAAGACATGTTGTGAAATTAGAATATGTAGGATTTTTTTTGTCAGAATTTGGAAAATAGGGTTGTTATCGAAAAGGTAGATCTGATCGCCAAATATTGATCGGAATGAGGAAAAAGATATATGGGCACCCTCGGAATGAAGAGGCGACCCCACTGGAAAAAGAAAAAATGGCCGGAAAAGACGAACCTGACAAGCTCGCTGGAGAATTTACCAGCGGCGCATGAGGGCGCGTGTGGCAGTTGTTTTCGGTGAGGTTGACTGGGCTTTGCTCGCTGGAGATTTCTACACCTAGTGGTGATGTTGATTTTCGAAAAATAGTGACGAAAAAATTAATTACTCGGACAGCCACTTAGGTTACCGAAAAAACTGCAAAAACATTTTTTTCTCACAATTGCTCTGATACCATGTTAAATTAGGTTTTGGGCCTAACTCACACTCAAAAGCTAGCTCAAAGGGAGGAGGATTGCCCAAACCTTCCACCCATCTCATTAACCACCGATGTGGAACTTTTGTCATTCTTTAACACCCCACCTCATGCCAGTGCTTAGCATCTGGTGCGTGGGCAATTTGTATTTTGGGGGCCCCAACATCGGGTGAGACGGGCCCTACTCTGATACCACGTGAGAATTATATGAAAAGAATATTATTGAAATTGTGTTTCAATTATTACATAGAGAACCCTATTTATAGACACTGATACAATTCCTTACCAATTAGGAGACTATAAACTATTCCTATTTTGTGTAGGATTGTGTATACCTATTCTATTCTAACAATTACAAACTATCAGCACACTAAACCACATTGGTATCATATTAACATGAACAACAAGTGAAAACAGATAATTCTGGATATCTATACCAACCTGATGTTCATTGCTCCTGACACAAGACAAGATGATATAATCTTTTCTCTTCCTTGAAATGAATTTGCACTTGCAACCTGGTGATAGAAATTACCTAGTTAATTGGAAGAATTTAAGAGAATCGTAAGTAGCCCCTCTATTCACAGGTTACCTCAATTTCCTTGTAAAGTTGCTGCCTTAAAGCACCATTTCTAGACATATAATTTACAATATATGCTCGTTGACCCTCATATGGTGTTATAACTCCAATCTGGCAAATAAGATACAAACATAGTTGTATACGAATGAATTATTCAACTCCTAGGCACTTTGATTGCTGAGAAAAGAAAATGATAGTACCGGAAAGAAAACTTATTTGCCACTATGCATTTGGAAGTAGGTAAGTGTGAGTACAGGTTTTTAAACTTAAAAATAGAAAACCTTTCTTCAAATTAAGTCTTGCCAATTTTTAAGGATTGTGGTTTCTCTTAAATATATGCTTGAAAATGATTATTCCATCTTAAAGTTTTACTTTGCAGAAATTTTGTACCAACTTCCTCAGCATCGAAATGACAAGTTAAAAATCTAAACAACCACATACCTGACTAGGGACTACACTTTTGAGGAACGTAGTCACTAGCTTCTCAACGCTAGCAGCTTCAGTTCTATTTAGATAGGAAGTTCCACTAGAACTGATCTCCTCTTGTCCCATCTATAGAGATTAACAACTGTGTATGACTTTATATAGCCAGAAAATGGGAATACACAAAATAGAAAGTGAAAAAGAAATCATTAGCGTATATGGCTATATCTCTACAACACATAATCCTTAGTATCTCATAGCCATAGCAGAAATATCTAAAGATAATCAAGGAAGAACAGAAACAAAATATATACATCTTTTCACTCTAGGAAGGACATCAGGAAATCAACTAGATAAATTGGGAATACCCGGACAATAATTATTTTTATAAAATTGAGCATACCTGGACATAAAAGAACATGGGACGGTTTGACACATGCCAAGGAAAATCAATGCCTAATGATTGTCTCTCGTTGATGGTTACACCATTTTGAAGTGTACCTTTGTAAAAACTATTTGACGGGAACTTTTACAGTGCAGGATGCATACGGTATTGTACCTAATATTGAATTTCAATGGACATGAGAACCAACATTATATATCAATTGAGCAAATATAAAGGGAAAAACAGAGAAGGTACAAACATTTAACAGTAAAGAGGAGTCTGAACAACATAGACAATAATCAATAAGTTAATGATAGACAATCATGAAAGGAATGGAAGCAGAGTATCTACGACTGTACTTTGTCGGGCAAATTAAAAGGGCAAGAATGGCATGCACAGAAACTCAACAACTGACATCTAAATTTAAGCAGGATAGGGACTTGCTAATCCCTCAACAACTGACATCTAAATTTAAGCAGGATAGGGACTTGCTAATCCCTCTACACAATTTGGTATGAAGCATGGGAATATCATACTTAAAACTAGAAATCTTTTGTCCTAGAGCCTTGGTGGACAGAGAACTCTGGTACCTGTTGCTTGCGGGAGGTGACAGGTATCCCGTGAAATTAGTCGAGGTGCGGGCAAGCTGTCCCCGACACCACGGTTATCAATATATATATATATATATATATTTAATCCTCCTCATATTGAAGAAAAAAGATAGTGGGACACTGAAGAAGTTTTGAATATTTGTGTCCATAAACACCCCACCCAGAAAAAAGGTAAGAAGAAATAACGGTCTACATAAAACACATGAGCGCTTCAAATCTTTATATCAATTGCATGAGGAACAAGAGAAAACACTGGATCTCATAATTCAATCCAACCTCATAAATCCCAGAAAAGTTTATGCATAAAAAAAACCTCCCAGAAAATCACCTGCAAGGCTGCAACCTGATTGGCTTCACACCCAGCAGTACAAGACGTTCAAACAGGGATTGAGCAAGTCCAGCCCGTGCAGCTTTCTTGCACATAATGACAGGTCCAAGCTGGCAGTGATCACCAACGAGGACAATCTAGCACATACATTACAATAAGTATCTTCTATATGTATAGCCATACCTCAATATGAAATAAATAGCAGCAGTTACCTTCTTTGCTCCAAAAACCAAAGGAATAAGGCATTCAGGTTCACCTGCTTGAGTGGACTCATCAATGAGCACCTACAATAAGGTTGCATAGCAGAGATGTTGAAACCATCAAGGAAACATCCAAATGAATGAAAAAGCACACACACAAAAAACTAAATGGATAAGAAAGTGAGAAAAGAGCTAAAAATCCTCAACATCTTTACTTATGAGGCAAACCAACCTGACGGAATCTAAAATTTGCCAATCTAGGATCTCCAGCACCAACACAGGTGCATAAATTAAATGAATTTGGAAAATGTGCACACATTTACCAATGCTGCAAACAGGTGATCGTGTATTTACATAGAAAACCAAAGTCTTCAAGCTAACAAGTCCAATTGGAACACCAATATCCATAAAGCATAAACAAACTAGAAGGGAACACCAACCTTGTTCATCCTTCAGTTGCTGTAACTTGTAAAGTTCACTCTTCTCGGATGTGTCAAGATGACGAACCTACATGGACAATGAGTTGAAGAATGGATGGAGAGAAAAGAATATAAAAGGTTCTGAAAGAAAACTTATACGTAAGTGTGTGATAATTCACAAAAGAACTAACCTGATAGTGAAGGGTTAAATGCTCAACAGGAGAACTGACAGCTTCTCTCGACTTAGCACAGAGCCTTACAACCTGGGAGAAAATAATTCATAAGAAAAGAGCTGAAGAATCCAACATTTGATGACGTTTCTATTCATTTTCCGTGACTCCTATGTTCTCAATACTTTTGATTTCTCTTTCTTTTTCCTTTACTTGTGTGGTTATATAACAATCAACAAGGCGCCTTCATGTTATGGAAAAGTACTCCTGACCAATCAACATATAGAAAGGGGGTAGCGGAGGGGAAAAAGGAATATGTGATGTCAAAAAGACAAGGAAGAATAGTTCAAATTTCAATAGGCTACTTCCATTATACAACAACAAAGAAACATGTGTTGATAACCAAGCAAAAATAATGACTGAATGTTATTTTTCTGGAACTAGTAGTGAGTATTTTATTTTTGATGCATAATCTTAGAATCTTCTATACAAAAAAAAATAGTGAATGAGAAATTGTTAGAATAGTTCAATGAAAGCTATCCAGCAGAGGGAGATCCACACAAATGCTGCTCCTCACCTTCAGTCCAGTAGCACTTATTTTCTCTGCTAATTGGTCCACAGCCACATTACTGGGTGCACAGACCAAAACCTGATGAAAAATTGTCAAAGAAATAGTAGAGAATACGCTTAGAATCAAGGGGTTACACTAAACAATGAAGACAGGTCAACTTGTAAAACAATTAACTTACCTGACCCTGGCCTTGCTTGGCCATATGATACACAATGGCAGCGGAGGTAACATTTTTTCCCGTACCAAGCGGACCTTGAATTAAACTGACGGGCTTTTGGAGAACACTTTTTACAGCAAAAACCTAGAAAAATGCACATGTACTATAAGACAATATTATTCCTCTATAAGAGACCTTGTTAAGAAAAAGAAGCTCTCAGACACAATAATCGACGAATGGTCTAAATCAGCAGGACCCCCCTCTCTTACGTCCTCCGTTGATCATTCTGATCACCGGATTTCATTTCTCTTTTCTTTTCTTTCCCACTGTCCTTGCAGGCGAGTTTCAAATGAAAGATAGTATTTACTTTTCAGTTGGATTCAAGTCCTACGACATCACAAGAACACCTGGTACGACGGGAGCATGGTACGACTGGACGAAAAGAAATAGAAAATCTATTACGAGAATGACTTTTAATGAGAAGTCAATGGAATGGATCGTGCAGATTTTACGGGAGGCATCAATGACAAGGGGGAATATGGTGAAGTGATGGAAGAAAAAAGATGGGTTCTCAGAAGTTTTTTGTTCGAGGAACTACAATAAATATTGGTCGCTACATCAATTTAATAAATGTAAAAGGCAGGAAGAGAGAAGTTATCATCATTCCTGAATTAAATTTTAACTCAGGGTGGTTGAGCTTTGCGGAAAAGGTTGGAAGATTCGTTAATAGTCGTAGAAAGTTAATGAATGGGGCCAATCACAGGCTGGTGAGCAGAGACATTCCATATGCTACAGTGCTAAGGAGCATTAAATGGGCTAATAAAGATTCTAAGCTTGTTGAAAAAAAGAAGGCAGCTCTACAAGGGGATACAATCTTTATCAACGAGGATCCAGATGAGTACAGTGAAGTGCTAAAGAGAAGTTTGGTGGGTGCATTTGAACCTAGAGCCGGAGAGACAGTGACCCTGTCAGAAATCAGGGGATGGGCTAATCGACTGTGGAAACAAACACACAGCTTGAACATCTACGAAATGGGCAATGACTTCTTTCTATTTTCAGTTTGCACTTAGGGTCACAGTAGAGCAAGTGATTGAAGGAGATTGAGAGTGGAGGAATAATCCAGTTATCCTCCAATGGTGGAATCCAACAATAGGTACGAGATGCGGAAGGATTAAAAAAAATTCAACTTGGGTAAAAATTGTAGGGTTGCCTTTGCATTTTTGGGATCAGAAAATTTTCAAGGTCATCGGAGATTTCTGCGGGGGGTGGGTAGAGACGGAAGAGGAAACCCAATTGAGGAATCATCTCAAATGGGCAAGAATCAGAATCAAAGGAGATGGAGCAGACATACCCAAAGAAGTGACCATCGACGGGGGCGGAATATGCTACACGATGCAAATTTGGGCAGAATCGCCGGTAAAAGTATTTGCCGTAGAAGACCTGAACTCCGAGATCAGTACCCAGCGGTCACGAGGTGGAAAACCACTGGGTAAAGGTGAGGCTCCTCTGCAAAGTCAAAAAGTAACTGCTACAGCTGGTAGAGCACGTGTTGTGTCAGAGGCATGTGGGCAGTCCTCCAAGTCAAACGAAATAGTAGGCCGGGGCGAGCCCAACTCAAAACAAAGCCCAATTCTAAGATTGGGGCCAGAACAAAATAAAGAGGGGGGCCTGGTCAATAAAAAGTTTGACCTGACAAGTGATAATAAGGGGGAATTTCTAGAAAGGTTAAGTGGCATCAAGGAATTAGCGATGCAGTTCTTACATGCTTACAACAAATGGGAAACCTCGAGTATGGTGGAAAACACCGACATCTCAGCTAAAAATAGAGAGTCAGTAAACAAGACGAAAGAGGCTGTTGAACTACTACGCAACAAAGCAAAGGGGATTGATCATTCTAAGGATTTTGGGGAGATTTCAGGGGTACAAGAACTAGTGGAAGGAGGCATGCAAATTCAACAGATTCACGATGCGGAGCCGGTTTCCATACAAAACCCTGGCTACCATACAGACAGCGAGATTGAAGCATTTAGTTGGATAAAGTCACATATTTTGTAGCTCAGTAAAACTTATGGAGTGGCATTCGAAGGTTTCAGGGAAGAAACACATGCATTACTATTGAAGCTCGATGAAAGAAAGAGTGATGGAAAAGAAAGGGGCAAACAGTGCAGTGTCAACACCTCGTCAAAGAGGAATTGGCAAGAATGAGTTGAAGAACTTACAGTCAGATCTGAACGAGGAGGTCAAAGGTGCAAGGAACAGAGGGAGAGTCCTATCACTAACTCTTAAATGAAAGTAAATATTTTATCATGGAACGTCAGAGGGATTAACAAGATTTCAGCAAGGAATCTGGTTAAAAGCTCTTTTCTAAAATTGAGAGCTGATGTTTATTACCTTCAGGAGACAAAAATCAATAAAGATGTAGAGGGGTTAGCCAAACAATTGTGGTCTAGTAGATGGATGAAATGTGGGTATTCTGAAGCTGATGGTAGTAGTGGGGGGATACTAATTATGTGGGACTCAAGAGTATGGATGGGTAGTTGTGTGGAGGAAGGCAAATACTCAATCACTTACAAATTTGAAGCTGTCCACGATGGTTTTTGTTGGTTTCTTACTGGCGTATATGCTCCACACACCAGAGCTGAGAAACTGGAGTGCTGGGAAGAAATTGCAGCAGTTAGGGAGCTATGTGGAGGCCCCTAGGTCACCTGTGGGGACTTCAACACTGTCAGAACAATGGCAGAAATGAGAGGATGCAGAAGAATAACCAATGTAATGGCTGATTTCTCGAGTTGGATAGAGGATATGGAGTTACATGACCCTCATCTAAATGGTGGGACCTTTACCTGGTACAGAGGGGTTGGCCACGACAGTGCTGCGAGACTGGACAAATTTCTCTATTCAATTAAGTGGGAAGTACAATTCAGAAATATAAGGCAACAAATTATGCCTAAAGTTATATCTGATCACAATCCAATTATGCTATAATGTGGTGACTGGGAACAGAGGAAGGCATACTTCAAATTTGAGAACTGGTGGCTTAATGTAGAAAGTTTCAAAGATCTAGTCCAGAACTGGTGGAATGGTTTTGTTGTGGAAGGATGCCCATATTTCAAATTCAGTATGAAGCTAAAGATGCTAAAACAAAAACTTAAAGATTGAAGCAATGTAACTTTCGGGGAACTTAACAATAAGAAGAACAACTTGTTAAGTGAGCTAGCTGAGATGGATCTGATCCAGAATGATAGGGTGCTGACCGAGGATGAGATGATGATTAGAGCAACAGTTCTAGTCGAGTTAGAAGAATTAGCGAAGAATACCAAGTTATTTCAAAGAGTAGCAACAGTTCATAGGAGGTGCAACACCATCGACAGGCTGATTATCAATGGGGAGGAGAATAAAGATCCAAAAGAAATCAAAGATCAAATAACAGAGTTCTACAAACAGCTATACACTGAATCAGAAAGTTGGAGGCCATCATTTGTGATGACAAATTGCCCAAGAATAAGCCTAGAGGAGCAGGAATGGATGCAGAGACCATTTTCAGAAGAGGAAGTGGTACACATTCTCAAATTGTGCGATGGAGACAAAGCCCCTGGTCCAGATGGTTTTACTATGCTTTTTTTCAAGGAGAGTTGGGGGATCATAAAGAGCGATGCGATGCAAACAATCCACAATTTCCATCAGAATGAAGTGTTTGAAAGATCCTTGAATGCCACTTTTGTGGTATTAATCCCCAAAAAGCTCGGAGCTGCGGAACTCAAGGATTTTAGGCCAATAAGTTTGATTGGTGGAATGTACAAAATCATCGCTAAGCTTATCACCGAGAGGATGAAAACAGTGATGGGGAGACTGATTGATGAGCACCAAATGACTTTTTTGAAGGACAGACAAATAATAGATGCCTCTTTATTGGCAAATGAGTTGGTGGACTCCAGGGAAAAACAAATGATACCAGGTATCCTATGCAAATTGGATAAAGAGAAGGCATATGATCATGTCAACTTGAACTACCTCTGGAAAGTTCTGAGTGAAATGGGGTTTGGGAGGAAATGGGTGAATTGGATCAAGTTTTGCGTGTCAACAGTGAAGTTCTCAATCATTATAAATGGGAGTCCTGAAGGTTTTTTCAATCACAAAGGGGATTGAGACAAGGAGATACCATGTCTCTTTTCTTATTTCTCCTAGCAATGGAGGGACTCAACTACATGGTCAGAAAGGCTAATGAAATGAGGTGGATAAGAGGTTTTGGTGCACACACAAACAGAGCCAATAATATAGAGGTCACACACCTTCTCTATGCGGACGACTCTTTAGTGTTTTGTGGTGCAGAAGTGTTGCAAATTAGACATTTGAGGGCAATACTAACCATTTTTGAAGGCATATCAGGACTACATGTGAACTGGCAGAAGAGTTGTTTGTTCCCAGTTAATCAAGTAAATGACATGCAAGGCCTTGCCGACAACCTGGGCTGCCAAGTAGCTTCTCTTCCCACCAAATACCTGGGGATGCCCTTGGGCACCAAGAACAAAAAATTGGAAGTATGGAGTGAAGTTCTGGAGAGAAGTGAAATGAAACTGACAAGGTGGAAGAGTCAATATATATCCTTGGGAGGTAGATTGACTCTCATAAAATCAGTTCTGGATGCACTTCTGACTTATATGCTAAGTCTTTTCCCACTACCAAAAAGTATTGGAAAGAAACTCAACAAGCTGAGAAGGGTCTTCCTCTGGCAAGGAAATAAAGAAAAGCAAGGATACAACCTGGTTAAATGGGAAGAGGTGACAATGAGCAAAGCACAAGGAGGTCTGGGCATTAAGAAATTGAGTACTCAGAACACCAGCCTGCTGCAAAAATGGTTGTGGAGATTCTGTTGTGAAGATATGGCATTATGGAGGAGGTTTATTGCAGAGAAATATGGCCTACAAAGCAACTGGATAACTGAAAAGGTGAATGACACTTTTGGGTGCTCTGTATGGAAAACCATCAGGAGAATGTGGCCTGATTTCAGTGCAAAGGTGACCTTCAGAGTGGGGAATGGTTTGAAGACCAGTTTCTGGAACGAGACCTGGTTAGGTGACGTAAATCTGAGGATACTTTTTCCCGATCTGTACATTATCAGTCTACAGCAGAATGACACTATAACGCAAATGTGGACCCCTCAAGGTTGGGACCTTATGTTCAAAATGACTCTAAATGATTGGGAGGTTGGAAGAGTAGCAGACCTACTGCATGCTTTAAACTTGTTTCCAGGCACTGTCACAGAGCCGGACAAACCAGTTTGGAGACTGCATAGCAGAGGGGTTTTTACAGTTAAATAATGCTATTGGGAGAGGAATACTAATCATCTCCTGACAACAGTTTGGCCTTGGAAATTAATCTGGAAAATTAAGGTTCCTTTAAAAGTTGCATGTTTCACTTGGTTGGTAATTAGAAGAGCTTGTCTCACCCATGAAGTGCTACAAAGAAGAGGTATACAGATCTGTTCAAAGTGCTACATGTGCGGACAGAAGGCTGAAGTAAATGGTCATTTGTTTCTGCATTGCAAAATAGCTACAGATCTGTGGAACATGTTCGTTTGTATACTCGGGGTTAACTGGACAATGCCCAGAACCACTTTTGAGGTCCTAACACACCGGCAAGGAATCGGAAAGAGAGGATCAAAAGAAGATTGGTGGAAAAATATCCCTGCTTGCATATGGTGGACACTATGGAAGGAAAGGAATGGGAGATGTTTTGAAGGAAAGGTTAGCAGCCCAGAGGAGATCAAGATGAAATGCCTTAGTCTTTTGTATTTTTGGTGTAAGCAAAATTTAGTGGGGGAAGTAGATAGCCTTGTGGAGTTTAAAAGCCAATCGTAAAGTTAGTTTTGTCTTTTTGGATTTGAGTATGATGGCACCCCCTGGGGGTTTGTAAATCCCACCTCATCGATTTTGATGAGGTCTTTTGTGTGAATACAAAGTTACCTATTTTTAAAAAAAAACAATATTATTCCTCTTATTCATTTCTATCCATCAAAGATGTGATGGGGTGACCATTTTTCCCCCTTCTCTTTTTGGGGGTTGGAGCAAGCAGATTTGAGGCACCACTCTCAGGCTAATAAACTAACAGCTGAGCGGAGGGAAAACTTTGTGAGCAGAGTGACCAAACAAGACTACCAACAAATTGGATGCAGGTGGTGACATTCATGATGCAAGCAACTAAATAATAATTAGTAAGAATCCAAAGTCAGCTAACATAACTATCATAACATGTGTAGCTCTCTAGATGCACAAGTGTGCACGTGTATAAATCCCATAACTTCTATTCCTAAGGTGTGCACTTGCAACTATGAACTTGCCCCCAAATACATATTAAAAATATTCCTAAAAAACGGGTAGGAGCAAGATAGATACTGAAACTTGATAGACAACTCTTCTGTTAGAGAAACGAGCTAAAACTTCAGAGAAAGACAGAACCGCCAACCTGAGAAGCGTTAAGCTCTGGAAGACCAGGAGCACCAAAACAGCGAGGAACTGTATTCCGAACCATTTGCATCTCAACTTCGTGACCTAGCAGGTGATGGTAAATATACCTACATAGTAGAATCAATGAATCAAACACAAGTATCCTAATAAAAAAGTTATAATCTGGTTGACACAAGCAAGCAAAATTATCTGCTAAAGGTCATCAAGTATGAAAAACTACAGCTATATCATATACTTCAAAGTTCCCTCGTGACACCAAGACTGGACAGCAAAGCAAAGTGAATTATCTATCACATTCAGCAACAGCAAAGTAAAGCAGGAATAGTGAATTCTTGCTACATAAATGCCTCCAAGAATCACAATATGTCAACACTTGGAAGAAAGTCAGAAAGCAATATGAGATGTGTATAAGCAAGATGTAGAAGTACAAATTTAAAGCAAAATAACGCAAACAAGAGGGAGAAGGACATGTATCATTTTCTTTAAACTTCTTTTAGTAAATTCAGACATTCTCACTCACCCACTAACACTTGTCTCATCCACAGCAAAAGTTTTCATTGCAGTCTGCATCCTGTCAAAGCTCGTACTCTTCCAAACAAAGTCAACACTCAGCCCATGGGTCACATCAACCGGAACTCCCTGCAAGACAGGAATGTTGCAAATGAATTAAGAACACAAATGGCAATGTAACTTTTATGTTAGTTGGGGGTAGGGGACAAGAAAGAGTATAGGAAGTCCTAACTAATGTACCTGACTGGCACGAAGCTCAAGGGCAACCTCTTCTTGAGCAGTTAATTTTATCTGAAAATGGAACAAATAATTCACCAATCTTGGTCAAAAAGCCAGCTAAAACACACCTATACTAGATGTCGAAGAATACATTTCTCCTTCTAAGTCATCTTGTATGTGTTTTACGGGTGTTTACAGCTGAAGGAGGCTCCATAGTTTTTCCCTTCTAAATAGGGTGAGAGATCAAGGTCCATACCACATGCCCCACTGATTGCCATGTTGGATGAGCTGCATCCCCTGAATAACGCAGTCGTATCTCATCACCAGGTACTAGTCGTAACTCATTGTCTTCCTAAAAGAACAACACCCTATGTTCAGTCCAGATGAGTGAAGACACAAAAGAAATCCCACTTCAAGAAAGAATTGGCTATGACAACAATGTAACAACACAAGAATTTCAAGCTTGATGAGAGGCATTGGAGGCAACTTTTATGAGGATGATAATATACCTTCAGGAAAACAAAATATGCTACCTACTTCTTGTTGAGACCTATATCCCATCGAACAGTGAGGTTATCTTTACTTTGAGACTCTTTCATCATCTACCAAATAGAAATAAAATCTTGTTATGTCAAGCAGTACGAAAATTCAAAATAAAACATTACAAAACGGAGAAACGATGCTATCAGTAAAACTTTTTGAGGTCTCATACAACATTACCAGTTTCACAAAAAAAAGGACACTGTTTTTTTTTTTTATAAAAGGGTAACTTGTATTCACACCAAAAAATTCATCATCCAAAAAATGATGAATTGGAAACTTACATCCCACATAGGGTATTCTTTATAGAAAAAAAAAAGATGCTATCATTAGGTAGTTGACAAGGATAGAACACATAAGAGGAAACAATGTCTTAGATTGATTGACTACATAATTCAATCATAAAAGAAAGAATAAATATCGCATAATTTAAAGATTAGAAACATTTAGGAGCAAAAATAAGGTTACTAATGACTTAAGACTATTTGATAGACCCTCACTCTACTGAAATGCAATTCTAATGGTACTACGTCACCCAAAAGAAAAGGAACCACTACACTATCCAAAAGAAAAACCTACAAAGGAAAATGATCCACTAAAGGAAAGCAAACGACATTTTTGGATGGAACAAAATGCCAAGAAAAAAAAAAACATAATGCACTCAAAATTCAGCAAGGAAAATATCTAATGGCTGACATACCTTATCATAGTCAGCTTCAAGCTTGATCAGCGGTGCAAATATGTTTTGATACTACATAGAAGGATAAAACCAAACTTAATTAACATGTCACCCAGAGAAGTAATTCATGAATACAATCCAGGGCAATTTTATGGAGCATTTATTAGACAACAAAAGCTAAACAATATAGGATAGCAAAATCAAAGACACCTGATAGGCATCTTCATACTTCAAGCCAACAGGCTGAGGTTCATCATCCACACCTGGCTTCTCAAGATCTTCCAGGTTAGCATCAGCATTTGTCTTCCACAATTCTTCAATTTTATTTATTTGTTGAGCACTGATTTGTCGTGCCCGCAACTGTTCTTGCTCTGATGGAACCTAAAGCGGGCAATAGGTTACATAAACAGGAGAGGAGCAAAACTCAGAAAGCACCATAAGAGGAATCAAGAAAGAGTATCCCAAACCTTAACCAGCCACTACAAGAAACACCTATCATCGATAAGGGGGCACCACTGACTCAAATCCCAATTCATATCCTTCAGCGCATTAACATTTAAACATGGTTCCCTGCAGAGGAGAACAACGACACTCTCTGTCTTGGCAGAGATGAAACCAAGAAGAAAGACGTTTCGACATCCACAGTTGTAGCACTCTAGAATTGTTTCTCCCAGTAGACTATCTTTATGAAGACAAACCTCCTTGTGTTTCGCTCGGACCTAAGGTGAATGTAGTGGATTAAATTCAGTAATTTCTAAATGCCTTGCTTCTAGAGTGAGAATGAAAGATGTACCAACTACAGGAAAAACCAAGATACAACTAGCAAATAGATGTAGCTCATAACCTATTTTTGTCAATGCATAAATATTTCCCACTGTTTACTATAGTAACAAGATTCAAAATGTTAGCACACCACGCTTACATGAATATGTGTCCAATTTATAGGTGAACTCACATCTAATGGACATTGAGCATGTAAAAGAGAGAGATCAAATAGAGTACATTAACTCCTTTAATAAATCAGCAAAAGGTACTGCCTTCGCTCTTTATTTATTTTAATAAGTAGATAATGCCTTCGCTTTTCTGCTTTGATAAAATACAAAGATCAGTTCAATTTTCCCTCTACATCTAAGAAAGTAGACTTGCAAAAGAAATAACGTCTTCAAAAAACTGACAAGAACCTAGTAATCAGAACAAGAAAAAAAGGGACACAACAAAATTATAGGCCCTGATATTAGCATGTTGATTATCAATCACCATGTCCAAGAGAAAGAACTGAACATGGGAAAAGACCTCATAGATAACAATAGAGTATCCGAAAGTGAAAGAAAACATTTTAAGAGGCACAAAGGATTCTTCGATAAGCTCAGTTCCTTAAATTAAACGACTAATACTAGATCATTTTAATCAAACTAGTTGGAGTTGGTTGTACAAATCCTCCACATTCTTTTAAAAAAAATTAAGGGGTCGTTTGGTAGAGTGTATAAGTCACAATACCTCATTACAAGCAAAATCATATAATGTGATTGAGAGCAACAATATACTCACAAGTTTAAAGTTTCCATTTCAAAAACACACTATTCTAGCCATAGGTCCACACTACTATTACTCACAATTCTTTTTGAAAAGTAAAGTAACTATCATTTCACAATTCACACTACCTAAAACATCACACAACATAGAGAAAGTAGGTTGTCAATTGTACCAAAGCATCTGGTCCTTCTTTTGGCCCATTTTCATAATCACAAGTATTTGACAAAACACAGAAAAAACTAAGCATACATACAAAGTGATTAACAATATGAGAACCTGAAGTATTCCCTCTCGAATTACAGAACCATTTGCGGCAAGATGGGACGTTACACCTAACCACACAAGCAGGATTCGTCACTCTGCAGTACTTACAAGCATGTTCAACCGCAAAATCTCCATTTCCATACTCAAAACTCTCATCATCACCAGTCTCTTCAAAATTCAACCCGTTCATTCCTGCCGCCAATGCATCCACTGCCACCACCGCCGCCTTATTATTACATATCTTACTACTACTACTACTCCGTCCACAATCACCACCACGTGATTTACCTGACACTTGAGAAGCATCAGACGACAACTGCGGACGATCAGGAGCTTCAGAGACTAAGAAATCAGACGGTGTAGGCCAAGCAGATGATCTAATTGGCTGTGAAAGCTCATGAAACTCAGGATAATCAAATTCTTCTCCCTATGTGTTGAATTCCAAAAATGTGTACGCATCGTTACCCGTGTCCGGTTGTGACGCTGTGTCGTACAAACTGTTCCCCTGAGAATCTATTTTCGGTGATGACAGTACTCGTTAATCACATACGAATTCAGCGTCAGCGTTAGGGTTAGGGTTTAGGAATTTGAATGCGAGGAAGAAGAAGGAAACAAATTACGTTTTTGTTTGAGATTTGTTGGAGAGAGTTAAGGATTTACAGTGTATAGAGATTGAGGGAGATCGAAGAAAAATAGAGATAATACAGAAATGTTAAATGTATAGGTGAGTGTGTTGTTATTTTTTTCATGAAGACATCATGAGAGGGGGGAGGTGAAGTAACGACGGGGAGGTCACGTGAGATAAGACTTGATGCTCTGTGTGATTGGGTGATTTTCGTTTGGTCTCGTGACTATGGGCACGCGAGTCAAGGGTGGCGCGTTGAGTTGTTCTTTTTTTTTGGATATAACAAATCTCTTCGTAGGAGTGGAGGTCGCGTATTAGGATAGAAGGTTAATAGGGTTAGAGTGTCGTCTTGCTTTGCGAAATTTGAGGCTTGTAAATGTTTGTTATAGTACTAGTTGTATTGTTGTAGTTTTGGTTCTATGTTGTTTATTATGTTTTGATTATCACATTATTATGTTATTGTTTGTTTCTTGTAGACTTTATAATGCTCTTCTTATTAACTGGTATGCTTTCTTCATTGATTTTTTTCTTTTACTTGAATTTGATGCACTTGAGTCATCGATATTTGAAAGACTTGATGCTCTGTGTGATTGGGTGATTTTCGTTTGGTCTCGTGACTATGGGCACGTGAGTCAAGGGTGGTGCGTTAAATTGTTCTTTTTTCTGGATATAACAAATGCCTCCGTAGGAGTGAAGGTCGCGTATTAGGATAAAAGGTTAATAGAGTTAGAGTATCGTCTTGCTTTGCGAAATTTGAGGCTTGTAAATGTTTGTTATAGTACTAGTTGTATTCTTGTAGTTTTTGTCCTATAATGTTTATTTTATTTTTTTTAATTAAATACTTTGGACTAGTGATCCGTTTATTTCTCTTCATCAAGAAGTCATACAAACAATTAGAAAAAAACCCAAAATAAGAAATGTTCAACTAGCCCATATTAGGAAATTTAAGACTAGATAAGTACTAGTCTTCCCCTAAAATAGGATTTCCAGATTAGAGCTTCCCATAAATTCCAATCCTACTCTCCATTGCTCCCATGTTTCTTGCTCCCTTCTCCTTGTCGTAGCTCATTATCTTCCTCTGGGTTATTAATGTGCTCCATCTGTGGTTGTGGAAGTGTTGTATCATCTAACAAAGGTATTTGCTTTTTGATGTTGTTCCACCTCCAACTAACTAAACTAGCAACTAACTTCATCTTTTTTGCAGATGTGAAATTCGGTGGAGGTGTTTGTAGTTCAAGATGAACTTTTTGCGGGGATTTAACCATCACACTCCTCCTGAAGGCTTTGAACGACATGCTGGATCGAGTCTGCACTTTCAGTGATTTATCGATTTGAATTTTCTCTTTTTTCTGGTCTTTTTTTGTGAGTTGAGATAGCTTTAGGCTAGAAAGCTTCAATACAGCTAGATCGGCTCTTAGAAAACAAAACTTTGATCTGTACATATTATCGTTGTGTATTTTTGCTTTGTAACTACACTTAGCTTAGCTTGTTGGGTTAATCCTCCTTGTTTTAATTCTCAATGACATAATTTGTTGTTTGTCTATGTTAATGATCCGTCTACCTTTGCTTGGTAGATTGTAGAAACTTCTTACTTGTATCTTCTTTGCTTGATCTAGGGCCATATTTGCTAGATAGTTTGCGAACTGATTAGCTTCCCGAAATATATGCCTTATTTGAACTTGTTTCATTGATATATTCCGTTGTATGTCCTCTATATTTTTCACTTGTGACCGAGGCACTTTCCACTGCTTTAGAAGCATGTGTTTGAGTGTCAATGAATCCGTTTTCAGTATAATTTTATGAAATTTATGAGTATCACAGAACTGTATCGCTTTCAATACTTCTATAATTTCAGCCTCCATATTTATTGCATCCCCTATGATTTGGGCTTCTGCATATATTATATCTCCCCTGTTGTATCTTATGCTAAAGCCATATGAACTTTGTCCAGGATTTCCTTTACATGCACCATCTGTATTACATTTCACCCATCATACTGCTGGTTTTTCCCAGTACACTATTCTAAAGTATAGTGTTGGCTTGCAAATACTAAGAGTGGTAAGTATCTCTATCCAATCCTGAGATCCTCGTCTAACTCAAGGATATTTTACTTTTATTAGCATTTGGACCGTGTGTTGAAATTGCCCCAATATTCTAGCATATGTCATCTCTTTTTCATGTTTTCTAGCATTCATCTTTTTCCATAACTCCCACAAAATAATTGTTGGTATTGCCTTGAGGCTTTGTTCTCCTTACACTGTCCTGGCCTGTCCCACCAAATAGTAATAAGTTGTTGAAGGTGTATTCTTTCGATGCTAATACCTGCACATGAAACAATGTGCTTCCATAATTTTTGAGCTATGGGAATTGTTAGAAAAAAGAGTTGCATTGTTTCCTCCTCTCCCACATTACAACAGTAACATTTGGATGCCACATGTACTCGCATTCTTTTAAGAACATCATCTATGGGAATTCGCCTTCGCCATACCCTAAAAAAAAAAAAGAGATTTTAAATGGTAGCCCCTTGATCCATATATTATTCATCCATTCATTCTCTTCTCTTTTCTGCCTTATTAACTGAAAAGTTGATCTAACAGTGAAGTCTCCTTGACTATTCTCTATCCACCATGCCTTGTCTAATTCCTCCATGTTCATATCAGGACTAATAGTCTCCAGAATGTATTCCATAATTTCCTGAGATAATAATTGACTTAGTCTTAATGTGTCTCATTGCCCAGTATGGATCATTTCTTTAACTAACACTTCCTCTTCTACACCTATTGGTTTTGTGTAATATAGAGCACCTTGCTTAGTCCAGTTGTCCAGCCAGAAACTAGCAGTACCTTCCTTCTGTTGCCACCATATTTCATGCTCCACATCTTCTCTGATTGTTACCATTTTCCTCCAAACATGTGAGATACCTCTGTTTTGAGCCATTATGGGATTATGTTTTTTACAATACTTATTCCACAGAAATGTGCTCCACAAAAAAGTTTGAGTTCTAAAAACCCACCACAGTTTAGCAAATAGGGCATTAGATATATCATATAGGGATCTAAAGCCTACTCATCCCTCACTCTTTGGGTAACACATATCCATCCAAGTCATCCAATATTTACCTCTTATTCCAGCATAGTTTCCCAGAACAACTTAGCAAAGAGCTGATGGATTTGGTCGATAACACTCTTTGGTGGAGACATAGTAGATAACATGTAGATCGTAATCGATTGCAGTACATGATTTATCAATACATATTTTCCACCAAACGATAGGAACTTGTTCTGCCATGAGAATATTCTAGCATCAATCATCTTGATTAAACCCTCAGAGTAGCTTCTTTTCTTTCTTCCATAGTATATAGGACAACCTAGATATGTGAACGAAAAGTTACCAGGCCTAATCCCAGTTAGCTTCCTCAGTCTTACTGTGATAATCAAATGGGTCTTTTCATGGAGGTAGAAAAAAAAAATTCCTTGTTAATCATCTGACCCGATACCCTTTCATAATCCCTCAATATCTTTATCATTTGGATCACTGAATGTCTGTCTCCTGAGTCAAATAGAATTGTATCATCGGCATATGCCATATGATTAATTTTAGGGCTCTATTTGGGCATTCTGAATCCTCTAAAAGACTCTTGATCATTGAGTTGATTGAGGCTTTTGGATAATACCTCAGCAGCTATGATGAACAAAGTTGGAGACAGAGGATCCCTTGCGTTAGTCCTCTAGTTGAGTGAAAGAAATCATGACTTTGTCCATTAATCAGTATTGAGTACCAATTTGCAGAAATCAGTCGCCAAACCATATCTATTATCATCTCTGAAAAATCAAACTGTTGTAGGACTTTAGTTAGGAATATCCAAGCCACTCTATCATATACTTTAGCCATATCCAACTTCACCAATACATTAGCCTCTTTGCTTCTTAAGTGTATATCCCTGATAATTTTCTGAGCCAATAATACATTCTCTGCAATACTTCTTCCTTTTAGAAATCCTGATTGATTGGGAGAGATGGTAGTTGGCAAAACACCAACTATCCTTTCATGCAGCATTCTTGATATCACCTTATCTGATGGGCCTCAAGTCATTGAACTCCTGCACATTCTCCTTTTTTTTGTATCAAAACAAGGTTAGTATGTGTAATGAATTTGGGCAATTCTTGCCCAAAAAAAAATGCTTTGACCAATCTCGTTAGATCATCTCCTATAATATCCCAACAGTGTTGGAAAAACTTACCAGTGAAATCATCTGGTCCACTCACACTGTCACCATTTAAGGTAAGTACCATTTTCTTTACCTCCTCATTACTTGGCAGCTTAGTCATCTCCTCATTCTGTTCCTCCTCAATTAGTTTAGGAATACTTTGAAGCATATCATACTTCTGAATATTGCTTTCGTCTGAAAGCTGAATTTGAAAAAATCCAGTTATTGCCTCACCCATTTGAACATTAGTATTAACTTCATTCCCTCTAACATCTTTAATGCGATCAATATGCAACTTCTTTCTCCTTCCCCTGACATAGGAATGGAAATTTTTTTGTGTTTTTGTCCCCATCCTTGAACCATGTCATGCCAGCTTTTTGTCTCCAATACTCCTCCTTAATTGCTAGATACCTTCATAACTCAGCTTCCGTTTTACTCAGCTCACACCTCAATTGCTAGATACCTTCATAACTCAGCTTCCGCTTTACTCAGCTCACACCTTATCAGAGAGGGGCTCGCAGGGAACCCTCACCCAACATTGTCCCTCGCCTGTCAATTTTTTCTTGCAAATCCTCTCTTTTTCGCTTTTGACTATGATTGGGCCCTGCAGTGGTAGAACCTGGTGAAGGCTGGTCTATGTGTGTGTAAGCTTCCTATGTGATGTATTCCCATGTAACGACTATTAATGAAAAAAATCCTAGCTGTAATTCTTTTACCTTGATTAATTCCTCCAATGTAGCTATCTTTTGAAAAACATCACCATAAGTGTTTCTGCTCCAACTTGATAATGCCTTCTTAATATTCTTCAGCTTGTCCTGAAAGACTATAAATGGGCTACCATGTCTATCCGATTTCCAATGTTATTTAACCACATCCTCAAATTCTTTATGCTTCGTCCAGAAGTGTAGAAATCTAAAGGGCTTGTTGTGTGGTTCCTCAGTAGTATTGCAAATCATATGCAAAGGGGCGTGATCTGATCCCTGTCTCACAAGATGATGAACTTCACTGGAAGGGTATAAATCCAGGAATTCCTGATTAACTAGGATCCGGTCTAGTCTCTTGAAAATGCATTCCTCCTCAACTCTTCCATTCTACCATGTGTACATACTCCCGGTGTATTTTAACTCCGTTAACACACAATTATTTATACAATATGCAACTGCTACTTCAGTTTGAGTGACTGTTAAACCTCTCATTGTTTCTTCTTCCCTCAGTATTACATTGAAGTCTCCTCCTATCACCCATGACATATCTGAATCTTCAGCAATGTGTTCTAACTCTTCCCAGAGATCAATTCTTTCTTCATTACTGCATTTAGCATACACCGCCGAAATTAGTACAATAGTATTGTACCTGATCAATTTTAGTGTCAGCTGTTGATCCATATCTGATACAATCTGCCATTCATAGACGTCCTCCCAAAATACCCATATTTTGTCATTTATGTTAAACAATGCATTTTGATAACCCAACTTCCTTTTATATTGTTCCAGCTCACTTGGATCCCTGAATGGTTCCATAGTCGCTATGTATTTGCAATGATGTCTTCGCTTAAGATCAATCAATCTCTCAAAAGATTTATGAGTGTTGACTGACCTTATATTCTATAATATTATTTTGTCAATCATTGATTAATTGTTATGAGTCATTCCTTATTACTCCTTATTTTTACCTGGAGAGGTATAATCGCTTTCCCTTTTTTAAAATCCCTTTTCAGACTATTCACATGTCTAGGCGAGAGATCCCCTGCTCGGCTGATTTGTTGAATATTTTCTTCCATCTCTTCACCAAGATCATGTATGTTTTTAATTTGCTCCTCCAATACCTCTCTCAATGTTGCAGCTATTTGTATAGGTACTAATTGCAAACCTATAAGAGTATGTATTCCTTCTTCTTTCATGTCCATTAATTTTGTGTGAATACCCCGTTGACTGTTATCACTTCTTGCCTCTTGGTTTCCCATGTTAGGACTATTTTCCTCCGGTTGATTCATGACCTTCTCTACATTTGAGTTTGTGTTCCCCGCTTCCTCAATGTCCTTTTCCTCATGTGTTGTTTTGCTTGGTACTGAGAAGGTGTCCTCCACCCATTGCTTAGTAGTAATCGTTGTGCCCTCGCTGATCGCTCGATGTTGTTGTTCTAAGTTATCTGTCTCCTCCTTCCCATTTAAAGCCTCAAATTTGTTTGTGGTAATAATTCTTACCTTGTTCCACACTTGATTTATTTTCTTCTTGCTTCGCTACCATTTGTATTGCTTCCCTTCAAAGAATTTGTCCTCTTCAAATTCTCCTTCCAATACCCTGTCATGTCCTTCCTTCCCCTTGATATGATTCTCATCATTGTTTGCATCTGTTTCCAACTCCTTCGTCAGTTACTTTTGCCTAAGATTCTTTTTTCCTGTATCTCCTTCCCTTGTATCTGAATTTTGCCTGGCCAGGTGTAATTTCGGATGTTTAACATAGCATTGTGGCTCGTCATGCCCATGAATCATGCATATTTTACAATATTTGGGCATATAGTCATACTTTATCTTAATCCACTTCTCTACTACCTCACCAGTAGACCTTTTCATCCATATGTTAATTCTCTTGGGGAACTCCTTGAGCAGGTCCACCTCTACCTTAACCCTCGCACAACTAGGTCTTGTTTGATTTTTAGTCGCCATGTCCACCTGTAAAGGTTTCCCCACTGCTGCTAATGAGAATACTATTTCTTTCCCAAAGAAATTTGGGGGCAGTGAGGGAAAAAGAATCCATGCTATAGCTAAAGATGTTTACTCCTCCAAATTAAACAACGGATCCCACTTCAGTGTCCTCATCTGATATGTCCAATTTTGCTGCGTTAAATAAAAGACTGGTTTAGAAAGCAGATTGACATAATCTTCCAAGTGCGTAGCCCTGATTAACACATATCTGTTAGTTAATAATTCAATATTGCACTCCCCTTTCAATTCACATTGTTTTGGAATGATTTTACGTAGTTCTTGTATGTCTGGCAACCCATACAAAAACTTTCCAACCACTGCGTATTAAAGGTTTTCATTAACAATCATCTGCTCCACCTTTGCTTCTTCCCATATGATTTGTGGTTCTCCATGTAAATACGAGATTGGTTTGAGAGGCAAAGGTGTCACCTCCCCTCATGGTGATTTAAAAAGACTAGCAAAAGTCTGCTGACCTGCCTCCCTCAGAGGCTGGCCAACGGCTGTCATGATCATGAACTCGGTGGCACCGGCATCGCTAGGTATTTTAGTTCAGAATTCCAATGTTGTTTATTATGTTTTGATTATTACATTATTATTATGTTATTGTTTGTTTCTTGTAGACTTTATAATGCTCTTCTTATTAACTGGTATGCTTTCTTCATTGATTTTTTTCGTTTACTTGAATTTGATGTACTTGAGTCATCGATATTTGAAAAATAATTTTTTGTATACATTTTATCCTCCATAGAGCCATTTAGTGAAATTTCATTGAATATGTTATTATTTTAGCTGTAATTTAGGAGTAACTATTTTTTCTTAATATGAAAAATCATAACAAATAATATGTTTAAATTTATAATTTTAAAAAAATAATAAATTTAATACAAAGTTTTTGTATATTAAATTTATAAAATTTAAATTTTAAATTATCTTTATGATTAAAAGCATATATTAATGGATACGCATGCGCCTGAGGAGTAGATTTCAAAAAAATTATGTTTTGAAATTTTAATTGAATCTCTTAAT